GACCAGTCCTAAGCCAGTTTAGGACACACCACAGTCTCCGGAGAAGATCGAAGCCTTTCTGCTCAGTGGTGGGATCTGACACAAGATGTTTGTTTGGAACGTCTCCTTGCTGCCATTCAACTTGGATGGGGAGAGGTTGGCTGCTGCGGTTGATACTTTGATATAGTCTGTATTCCTGCTTCTGTCCACGAATGCTCGGTGGAGCAATGTTTGCCAGTGTCGGTAACCATTCTATGGCAGTGCGCTTTAAAGTTCTTGTTATCACTCGCATGGCGCTATTTAGTTGAGTGTCAACTAGCTTTGTGTGGGCACTTTCTGACCACACAGGAGAGCAATATTCAGCAACAGAATACACCAGGGCTATTGCTGAGGTCCTCAAGGTGCATGCTCCAGCTCTCCAACTGGTTGCAGCGAGTTTTCTTAGAAGATTGATCCTTGGCTTTAGTTTCTCCTTTGTTTGTTCCAGATGGCGTCGGAAGGAGAGCATACAGTCAAGTGTTACGCGTAGGTATTTGGGAAGCAATCTTTTTGCCACAGAAAGCAACATCAAGTTTTGCAGTGGCATTACGGTTGTCTAGATGAAAAGCTGTGACCACAGTTTTGTCTGGAAGGCTGTCATCACGCTACCTGTAAAGTGATGAACCAACACAAGGTGGGTGCTAGAAAGAGTACCAGTTAAGAGTCCACAGCCACAATCTCTCTGCTGTCGGATGCCTCAGCCTTCAGGTTGGCAGCACATCTTGGTAGCTTGCAAACCCAGGGAACATGGTTTCTGGAGGAGTAGGCACCACACAGAAACGTCAGAGAGCTTGGGGCCATCTGCCTAGTATACAGGGGCTTCCTCCCTCAGTTGTCCAGTCGAATGGTGCCGGTATTGATGAACAATATCATCTCAATGTTCTATGTCAACAGGCAAAGGGGAGCATAGTTGCTGGTTCTGTCAAGAAGCTTTCAACTTGGGTGACTTGTATCCAGCATGTGATCCACCTGGAGGTTGCACATCTTTCTGGCATCTGAAACATGCTGGCAGATTGCCTCACTAGAACTTTTTACTCCCAGTGCAAGTGGGAGCTCCAGCCCA